TTTAACAAAAAGTCAAATAGAAAGATATCGTAAGTGGTGACAAATAATCCCATAATATCAATTATTTATTTCTCTCGACAAATCAGAAAGCGAGAAAACTATATTATTTTATTAGTCTCCTCGCAGCCGTTCTTAGTGACTGGCTCCCTGTCCCCCGCCCCACAAACGGCTGCTACAATCCGAGCTTTGATCGTTTCCCTTTGTCTTTTTCCTTCTTGGGGGTCTACTTGAATTAACTAATCACATACCATGACAGTCTACTCCAGCTGTTACCGCTAAGCCAATGAGATGCAGCTTAATGAAAGTTTTTGTTTGCGCCAAACTTCGTAAAACCATTAAAAAAAAACATGTCAACACATGTCAACACATGTCAACACATGTCAACACCAAGAGCTGCGAAGTGTCCTGGACGTTTCGTTGAATCATCGATAACTTTAAGTAAAGCTTGAAAAATGTACCGAAACCAGTAGGTAAACAAACAAACACATCTCAATTTTCATCTATAAGTTTTGTAATGGGAAGCTTCTGGGGGACAATTTAAGCACGATATCTTGAAYTTTTGAGCAGCAAACACAAAACAATCCGCGATGTCACCCACCATGTTTAGTATGATCGCACTTATAATACGCGAGTTCCTATTGGTCAATAATTTTGGCGGGAAYTGMTGCAAGGAAATGAAAGCCGAACTGTGATTGGAGAAATGATTAAAGCTCGGATTGAAGCAGCCGTTTGTGGGGCAGGAGAACGTCTAAGAACGTCTGCGAGGAGACTATTATTTTATGTGGTAAAAGAAATTTTTTGTCATAGCGAGCACAGGGACTAATTCTATTGGAAAGTTATATTTCTAGATTCCCTTGTTCTTTTTCAAATTCCAAGTGCCTGAAATAGAAAATATGCTATATAAGTTCAAATATTATATATATTTGTGAATTTTGTTATTATAGTTAAAAATGAGTTAATAACTGTGTTAAGAATTTCGTCATACACAGGCATATTTTYATTATTACTTTTTGAGTCTTCTGTGCTAAATTGACTTATTTTAACCAAGCTTTCGGCCTAAGCAGCCATTTTTAAGGTTGTAGTACACGTGATGACCTAATCTACGCAGCTAATTGAAAGCGCTAGAGTAAACTGTACAATACGCGCGCGCTCTGTTTACAAATGAAAGATAGACARTGAATAAAAAATATTATTATATGACTTAGATATTACGCGCGCTCTGATTGGCTGAAACCTGGTCCGTGAAATGGCGTATCCAGACCGCGGTT